GATATCAAATCCACTCCAACAGGAGGCTGATCATGGCTCGAATAGCTGAGTGGTGATGTCTCTCACTACAGTCCTGGGTGACGTAGTTTCGAACTTCTAAGGGGACATCATTCCCCTTCAGGTTGTAGAAATACCTTATTAGCAAGCGCCAACTGGCCTCAAGTCCTCTAACACGAATTGTATTATTTCAAATCAATGTGCATGTGTATTATTTTCGGTTAGAGTACTACACCAAAATACTTATGATTACTCAAATTCTAGATTGGCCCAGATGTTATCGAGGTTTTTCTACAAATTCTTTTCCTTCCCTATCTGAACATTTAATCAAATATTTATTTTATTGGCACACTTACTTAGTGTATTTAGATCCAAAAGTTCTTGAAATGAATAAGGTATGCTTCCACTAAGTAAACAAGAGCGACACTTATCTTTTTGTATCTCACTAAATAACCAATGAGTCGGTGCATTTGAATTCCGAATAAAAGTTTCACTTAAGTAAGATATTCGAAAGATTTTTGCATTCTACTATAATGCATATCATACAAGTATATGATATAAAATGTTTGATTTCTACTCTGATTCAAGTAATCAACTGAGATATTCAACCTGCACAAAAGTGTAGAACATCGTTTAAAAGTGTATCGGTCCAAAATGCCACAGTTCTCACTATTCTGTATTCCAACAAGCGTAGCATGTGCTTCAAATGTCTGACTTGTTTGACCTTTTAGCTAACGTTAAAAATGTGGATTAAGTAAGTCCATTTTACATCATCAATTCAGTGACTGTAACTGAATACGTCAAAGCTTCTCATTACTTCTAGCTTCCGTATCAAAGGCTCAAAACTTTAGAGGAGTAAACTCATAGTAACTATGCAGCACAAATATCTTGAGACAAAAGGGGCCAATCATAAGGGTTCCATAGTTCAAACAGCCGGCAAACAAACTACATAACTTCTGTTTACATTTGGCAACAAAAATATTAACGAAGTATCTCTTAGTCATTTTAAATCCCCTCAAGTTGACCACTGAGTTCTACCGGTAGTAGCAACTTAAAACTCATATAAATCAATAGAATATCACTTTTGATTTGCATTTTTAACCCCGAAACAAGTAAACTGAAGTAATAATTTAAATTTAATGAAAAATATGGAGGCTTGTGGTTTGAGCTCTACCAGTCTATGATTCATTCTCAACTACCACTCTTCATTGCATATACCAGGCTAAAGCAGTCCTAGTCTCAGCAAGAAAATCCTATTCAACTCAGAGATGACTATTACCACTTTGTAAAACTATGGGATATGATAGGCTTCTCTGATCAAGTATGCACAAAAGTGGGCTTCCTTGACAACGAAAAGTTTTCCACATCCGGACTGCAATGTCAAACAATAAATATGTGTAAGCTCTTATCAGGTAGTCTGCAGTGACATTGATTGACAAAGTTATGTGCGTTCAAATGTCCCATGTATGTTTATCAATATGTTGGAGAGAAAACTGTCTTCTGTATCGCGTAGGAAGAAATCAGTTTTAACAGGTGTAAAGATGAGTTATAATCGGAGTAGCACTTGCACAAACTAATCTGCGTGATTGAACAGTAAATTGGCAATCTGTTTCCTTCTAATGCAAATCCATACGTCTATATGATTAAAACTAGCGTCAAATACCTCATCACTATTCATAAAACAACTGGTACTCTGAATGATTGGATTATTCATATGAATTGGTCACTAAAAAATAACGAATATAGCTTTCAAGTATTTTGTGCTGATCGAAGTTTATTAACAATACGGAAAAATTGCAAGCTAGATCACCAGATACAGTTTAACAACTACCTTGTGTACCATACCGTGATCAGTTTGTGCATGTACATCAGTTTAACTAAGCAAACTGTACTAGACATTTGACTTTTCATCCAAGAATTATCACATCAGTAATGTGCTTGAACAAATCAAGATCAAATAACTAAATCATCCAGACACATTGAAACACGATAACCGTCTTTCAATGTATGATATAGGTATGGATTTATGTTGGCGTTGCATTATCTGAGCTGAATAATGTCAATAGACTGAACAAGTAGGATAATTAATCAACAAGTTCGTTTTTAAAATGTCTAAATTTATGACTTTCTTTTATAATCTATCAGGTGTTGAATTTTTCTTTCTTTTTCTTCCATATTTTCCTGAAGAAAGTAGATGCTGAAAGATTACGACGAAAAAAAATTAATTATCGTCTTAGCCACCTCCGTAATATACTCACATTGGATAAAAATGTAAGTTAAACGGGGAAAAATCTAAACTATTGGATATCATACCATTTTTTAGTTGATAAACTTTGGCAGGTCGTAATAGTTAAAATGTAATACAAGTTCTTATGCAACAGTCTGTTGTGCACTTATTTCAGTCTTACATACAACTGTCAAGTAACATCTTGCAGTGTAGCGCTAAATAATATGAGTGATAAAGGCAACCAGAGTTATCTGCATATCAAGCCCAAAATTCTAGTACTATTCAATGCCCCCTTAGTAACTTTTTTCAAGATGAATTTAAAGAGGTATTCATTAAAAGTTGCGACCAATTGAGTTATCCAACAGGGAAGTAAGGATGAACATCACGGGTTACATTGAATGATGGACATGTTGCATCCAGAATTGGCAAATGCTGGCATAATCGAATCATTACACCTCAACCTATTATGCGAAAGGTAATGTGGTCGTCCCCAAATGACTGGATCATTGTTCTCAAGATGGATCTCTCATGAAGTCGTAGACAGTTACTATTGATAAGTTCCAAATAAAGAGGAAACATCTGTTCACCTGCTCCAAGATTTTCAGTGATTCTGCAACTGATAACAATCCAGATTGAAAAACATCTTTGGAACTAATCGATCTACACAACAGATACAATGGAAGAAGAATTCAAATTTCTAACAGAGACACTCATGGAAAACGCATATCCTCTGAAGTTCATCAATCGTTATAAAAACGTTTCAATGGTACGAACTAATCAGTGTTCTCACCCGAAGAAAGTTGTTTACATCTCGCTACCGCATAAGGGGGATCAAACAGCATGATCTTAAGACGAAGGCTTATTTCAGTTATTAAAAAATATACCATTCCTTCCCCCACTTCCAGTTTACATACCATTCAGTCAAGGTCAATATTATCGAAAAAAAGAAACCTATGCTTCATAATAAATCTCAACACTACATGGATGATTACGTCACATCCCGCTGCGCACACCAATTTACATGTCTGTGTGGTGATACATACATTGGAGGCTTTATAGAACTATGAAGTCGAAGTGATGGAGCACATTCCTAAATGGCCAGGGAGACAATTACATTGAAATAATCCGATGAATATAGGGGGTATACAGACGTCATCGTAGATAGGTGAGCACATTACAGAAACAGGACAAAAACTGACCCCAAAACAGCCTTCAGACCATTCTATAGGAGCAGTCATGACCATATACTTAGATTCATTGAAGCCTTAGCTATATGAAAGTTCAAACCCCCTTTATGTATTCAAAAACAATTTTTCTTTACCTTTAACCTACCTTGGTAATCTTTATCTCATTTTAATCCCAAGGGAGGTATGAAAATGTATTCTTCTTCTTCCTTATTATCCTTGTATTTTCCAAATCTTGTATTATCTTAATATCTTACCCCACCCTATTTTCATCCTTTACATAAAATACCGTGATAAGTTAGTGTATAACCAGACTGTTCGAAATGTATTGCGCAAATGCTTCACATTTCCCAGATAATCTTCGTCTTCTTATCACACTATACTTAGAGCATGCATAAACCTAAATAACTGACAACGTATGGATATGGGCAGAAAATAATCACTTCAACCTAAGCAATCTGTAAATGTAGATGGGTGAATCAACAAACGTTTACACAACTGTTATGAATAAAAACTATTAACCAGAAGATAACCACCGCCTTGGTTTCTTCCTTCGAGTCAACTAGGATTTATGAACTAAAATCTCCACTTTAACCATAATGTTGATGGATTTTATATCTCGTCTGATCACATTTATTAGGTAGGGAATTCAAACACAGTTGTTTAGCTTAAAATTCCTAGCCTCGTAGGCTAGGCCATCAAAAGACTGAGACTTTGTTTATGAAGTAATACAGTAGTATTTACTTCCAAGGATACTCCAAAATTCCAAAAAGTAAACACTCTCCCCTTGATCTCAGTTACGTATGTTTTTGAATTTAAACTGTTATGGCAACTTTATTGGGATATCCAAAAATACTAAGTATGTTTTATGCATGTAATTTATGTCATATTAACAAAGCGTTCACCATACATCCCAAGTGGTTCAGGCATCTACTTCCTATATAACTCTGAATGATTCGGAATGTGTCTTTACTTACTGGTCCCGTAAGCCAAATAATGTGAAAGGCAATGATAGACGAAAAAAAATGAAATCACCTAAGGGGTCAGAGGTTCAACTGTAAGTTGTGAATAGATAAGCATGTATACACATAACGTCAGAACAATAAACTTACTCGAAAATTCCGACCATAGATAACTAAGTGTGTAATGATTTAAAATAGTATTGATATCATTTTGAATTGCTCAAGATGGTTCGTATCTTTATGAAGAATACAACACATTACTTGGGCTCTGTGGTAAAAATAATTAAAGATTATGTTTTTTTATTTCAAATGGTATGCAGCGCTTGCTAGACAACTTCTAACATCTGGTTATTATAGTTTTTTTCACTCTTCACTAAGTAATAGTTGAAATGAGCATTACATCATTCCTATCACATACGTCCATCCCAGGCATCAGAAGTTTGTGTGGTTATTTTGATGTAGATATGAGTATTGGTTTTTATTCTAACCAGTATTCAGTGAGTAATACTGTATCACTGTGGGTTATATTCAATAAAGTAACTTAATATGTAAGTGGTTCGCTGCTGCAGACAAAGTGTTTTCATTTAACGTGATTCACATTTGTCGCCTTGTCTTCTTTCACCATTCTAGATGACACGGATTCAAATATTAAGATATGCGGCCGACAAACTGGCAGAAATACAACCAAAAGGAGTTCAGATAGCTGAATATAAATATGACACATCATCAGCAATAAATAATGAAGTTATACAAAGAAAATTTACGGTTATTTTTGATTCCAAAGTAGATAAGGTAAGCAATAAATATTTCCGTATTCATAGACTTATTAGCTCAAATGAAGGGCAGCAATGATGTTGAACGTAACTCACTTGTATGATAGCTGATAGTATTATCTTTTGTAGAGCAAAAGGCTATTAAAATTGGCGGGAAAGGCTATATTCGTCAATGATGTTGGATTTGTGTGGTAAACCAGTGGAATATTCCAAATTTTACATACTAGTATTCTCAGTCTATGTTGTGTAATGGATAGAAAAAGGTGTCCACCCACGTTTACTGATCCCTTTTTTGTGATCACTTTTTTAACCAAAAATAGATACACTTACGTGAAAAATTCAGCCATAAACAACTTACAAATCCCATATCTTCAGCACACTCTCAAGGTCAAGTCATTTAGTTGAACTTACGTGTTTATCAGCAGTGTGCTACTGACTTTTAAATGAGTAGTTTAAAGTCTTTATGTAAATAACATAAAGTTTATCATGACTGAAAATAGAGGAGAAAAGAATAGTTGTTTTGTGTTAGCTTGAAATCTCTTGTTAATACGCATTCACAATCCCATATGGCATCAGTTTTAGGACTTTTACGTCGCACAAAAAGCATATTATAGTCTAGTTACAAGGTCAGAAGGTGATGACAGTTGAGTTATATGAGAAATCAATTGATATTGGGAGATGAGCACCATTGTACTCCAGCTGAGTAAGTGGTTGACAGTATGATCGACAAAAGGCCTGAAGTTCCTGGATTCACTCTTGTGTGAGTCTGTGTGTGTATTATGGCCGAAGAAGTTGAAGTTGAGACTAAACTACTATTTAATACTCTTTGGCTTTAAACGGTTGTCTAATTGATGGAAGGTATGTTGCAATTTGCACTTAGAATATTTTCAAAGATCCTAATTATGGCAGAGGAGAAACTATGGATGATTTCAAAGCCTTGCTTACTAAACAGTGATACTGCGTTTGCTGAGTTTTTTTCAGCATCCTTCTTGTTGTAAGTAACTGTACATTTTTGAGTAACTTACTTTAATACGTTCAAATCTGTAAGGTGTGCATACTGCCGCTAAGTGTCTTCACATTATATCAAACCTCTACTTTTTTTTCTTCCTTCTATAAGTTTGACATCCAACTGTACACTGGTTATTTTTTCCTAGACGTCCCAGTTTAGAACCGGTCATCTAATGTTCTCTGTTCGCTTGTATTACTTTATCAAATCCATCCACACCATTGTGTCATGATCTCAGTATTTTATGGATTTCATGTTAAGGGGGATTTCTACTGGAAGTATTATGCCGGATTACCTTAAGTATTGTTCAAACATATGAGCATATTAACAAATACGTGAACACTTCTGTCTCAGCTTGGTCCACTGTGACTGATCTGAAGCAGCTACTGAAGTTGAATTGGCTTGTTCGAGTAGAAACATTCATTCGTTTTTCTCATTCAAGTTCTTTCTGATTATGAACCAACTGGTAAAAGAATATAATTGCAACTTGGAAACTTTCATTGTTGAAATCTAACATTCATTTGTTTTCTTTTTCTGTAGGGAAAAATTAACAAAGCAACTATAGAACAATATCGTCGACGCCTCGAAAGAATCGAATATGATCGAATACATTCAATCTTGGGTGATGAAAAAGTAAGTTGCCTACTAGGTAACGGATAATATCTCTGGCTCAGGAAGATGACTTTGGTGGCTTTGTGTTCTCTGAACTGGACTGTTTAGTTGAAAAGCTTTAATCCAGCTTCACTAACACAAAATCAGCAAAATAAGTTAGTTATTGTTATACTTTTCTAAACGGTACCCATTCCTACTTGAATCCGTCCTACCTTCAGAAATTGTGGATAAATTAGGTCCGTTTTCAGAGTCCATTAATCACGGTATCTAGTCTGATATAACTGAACGGTTGAAGTAAGCTGAAAGTCACTCGACTTATCTGATTCCTCAAACTATCTGAAATCTAAGGTTTGAAATCATAGATAACGAGGAAAAACTGATATCCGTGGTACAACTACAGCCACTGTTTACTTCTGGAAATACTGAGTGCTTAACCCGAGAGAGACTTTAAACGCCACTGTAATAACTACTCAAGTGACCAATTAAGTATCTATAATTCCATTTTAGTTGATTTATTAAGTGTATCGCACAGTGGAGTAATAGTACTATTTACTGGATTACATATCGCAGACAATTTGCTGTCCAGAATCATATCAAGATAACTCCACAACTTTGAGACTTGGTTTACGTAGTCTTAGTTTCGTCGCCTCTTTTGCGATACAGGTAGTAAAATTTTCAATATATCTGGAACAGGTGTTGAGCCATTCCTGTTGCGTGTATTAGGTGTCGATTCGATAAACAAAAATTCAATTATCAATCTCTCCCTCCACTCTCCTACTTTAATTTTAAGGATTTTCATCCTATTTCATGCTACTTTGTGGTTGTGTGTAACTCTATGCATAGCTATGACTAGTCATTTTTCTAATTCCCTTATTTTACCAGAATCTAATTATTTCCCCGAGAAAAAACTTAGACAGATCGAAGTTCCGTTTGTTCACATTGATAGAATTATTCTGTTTAAGTCGATATCTTGGCTTACCTTGAAGCCTATTACAACATTAAACTCTCCGGACAAGGATGGTTGTTATTCTATGAAATTGATACAATTAACAACCGAAAATCGCTTATGTAGTAGATAATACAGTATCGTTTTGTGTTATACACCAAACAATCAGTTATAATTAAGTGTTCGACAAAAATATTCTGCTTTCACTATATCACTGTTTTCATAATTGGTGACTGCTTGATGACTTGAATTACATATGCTAAACACTTAATATCTAGAAATATTTCGATGGAAAGTCTACTTCAAGCATACATGAGAAAAGACAGATTGTTGATAAGTTTATAAAAATGTCGTTATGTAAAGGGATTGTTTGAAAGTAGTACAATGCACATTCATGGGATGCAAGAGATCTACTAATCGGGTATAGAATATTGTCAACTTTACTGGACAATGGCGTTAAAGCATGTTATGTGCATGCCTGATCATCGTCTACCTTGATATTTTATGCTAACCAAGGTGTAATGGATTAAACCTCGGCGTATGACAAAGAATTATAAGTTCTATCATCTTTTTTATGAGCCATTTGTTAGACTGTAGACCAAATAAATGCAGTCCAGCAGCAAACCAGAGTCACCATTAGTAATTTTTGGATGACAAGTTTCAAAATCGGTTTGAGTACAAACATTTTGTATTCTTCATCTTAATGATAAAAGTGATCACTTTAATGTTTTAGATGTTAGGGTCAATTGGTAGGAAGGCTATGCATGTTGACACTCTTCAGGAAAATGGTGTACCGTCATTGATTTGAAAGTGTATTACTCACCTCTGAAGTAAGGCGTTTAGGCAACAAACTATTCAGGCCACATTTGAACCTCTTTACAACTAGAATATATGTGCACATAATGCTCCTTCCAAACGCTTTTCACATGCTTTTCTCAGCCACTACTTTTCTGTTACCAAACATGTTTCTCACTACATTCACCCCCCCCCCCCTTCTTGGTTTACTGTTTACGAAGTTTGATAACTGAAATAGACACATGATTCCCCATGAATTCCTATTTGTTCCTAAATTATCTGCCATATGAGTAGTTCACCACTGGAGTACGTTGAGTGAATAACCATATGAAATTAATAAAGGCTGTGTATGAAGTTTGTAGGCACAAGTTGACTCATTAGTACATCTATCAAATTTCAGCATAAACAGCTGAATATTAACCATACTAATAAGTGTTAAAACATATAATGAGTCACTTCCTTTTCGTAAATCTCCTTAGTACATTATATTATCATCATTTGATCACAGCCCTCCTTATGTAGTGAACAGTTAAAACTGATGCACTTAACCTACCAAATTTTCCACTGTTTTCAACATCCATTTGATAGTTCAGTAAAACCACCTTTCTTGGTTGTATTGCCTTCTCTGAGCTGGATTGTTTAATCGTGAAGCTTTCGTGATCCTTTTAGATGACATCAACAGCACTAACTTCATATTCCACGATTACCTCCAGAGCTTTGATAACTAACATTTTCGGCTTCATCGCTGGCTGAGGAAGGCAATCTATTCCAATGAGTGAACAAATCAATATTAAATGAACGATATCTGTATTTAGATGAAAATGTTTACTTGATGACATTTTAGTCTTTCAATTTAAACTACTTACAAGTAGCTAAATTTAACTGTACATTTTCAGAATATTTAATTGTCTCCAATTTTAAATTCGTCCACAAAATAATGCGGAATATATGAAAATGGTGGTTAGCGCTGGAATCCAAGAGGCATATTTCATCCTGTTTAGGATTCATCAGCTGCGTCTGCCTGACTCTTAGTAAGTGATGCTGTTCTCACAGAGACTCGTACACAAGACTGGTCGCTTCAAACACTAAAGCGTTACCCACTAAGCTATGGAGTCACGATAGCCAACCTTTGGGTGACGAGCGTGCTTTTTTGCAAGCAGTAACGTAATATGGAATTAGTCTGAACGTTATGGTAAACCATATGCTTATGCCAGTTGAATATCTTCAACTGCCAGTGTAATTTACTTGGTTGTCACTAGCAGAGGAATCCAGCTGAATGTACCTGGACCTCGGTGAGTAACGTTATCCTCACTCAGACTCGAATCCCCTACCCACCACCCCAGAGGCCAAAGGGTTATCCGTTAGGCCGCTGAGGAATGGCACCCACCTCTTGTACAACGGGTATTAATTATTATTATTTGTTGATATACTTGTAATTGTCTGTTACTATTCTGAATCGAATCAGTCGACCTTATTTTGCATACGGACACTGAAACACACTCTAGATTCTTCTGAATTCGCTAAACTTTACTAGGAAAATGATTCAACTAATATACTTAGAATTTTGACATCTTTATACAGTTTAATTTCATCATATATCTTTTTACATGTATGAAATAATCAAACAACGTTATTTATTGATAGTGAACTAATTAATCTTTCATCCGTTCATTGAACGTGTCAGTCTTTTGGAAGAATACAATTTTCCTTCATTGAACTACTATGACATCATAATTTTTTTGATTAACTGTCTTAATAAGCTTCCATTTTAATTGTTCAATATTATTAAGGATGCTATGGAACAACTTGACCATTCCTTGGATTTCTTCTTTTAAGTATATTTTATTGACATCTTTTCTATGGCTGTTGTAACTTTGTCAGTTGAGAGTGGAACACGAAGATGCAAACAGTTAGGAAAGTTTTGGCTTTTAGGACACTGAACTGTGATTCTAGCTTCGGTTTGAGAAAGTTGGTGTGAGTTTGTTGACTAGACTTCTGATGTCAAGACCATAAGTTCCATTCCAATAACTTAGAAGTCGGATATATATATATATATATATACATATATATATATATATATATATATATATATATATATATATATATATATATATATATATATATATATATATATATAAAAGCAAGACAAACGTTCATTAGCCTGAAACCAGTGCGGAGATCTTCTGCACTCCACTCAGCATGTGAAACAAGATACGGATTTTCAACACCAACGTCAAGTCAGTGCTTCTTTGTGATGGTTGAGAGACTTGGCGCGTCACGAAAGGAATTTCCAATAAACTACAGACATTCATCAATAACTGCTTACGCTGGCTCGCTACTGAAGATCAGATGGCCAGAAAGAATAAGCAACAAGGAACTCTGGGAACGAACCAACCAAGAACCTATCACGCAACAAATATGCAGGAGGAAGTGGAGATGGATTGTATTTGGCATACACTGAGAAGGCCGACTGGGGACATCACGCGTCAGGCCAGTTGCTCGAGTGGAATCTCCATGGGAAGCTACGAGTTGGACGTCCCAGCTGAGGATGACATGGAGGAGATTGTGCAAGGAGGAAATGAGAGGTTGTGGGCTGTCGTGGAACCAGGTTGAAAAGATCTCAGAGAACAGACTTCACAAGAGACGTGCTACTGAAGCCCTATGTTCCACTAGGAACCCAAGGGACTAATAATAGTAATAATAATATATATATATATATATATATATATATATATATATATATATAATGATAAACAGGGAAAAAGTTTAGCTATCTTTATTCTATTCTAGGATGATTTTAAAACTCTATCCAGACTAAAGTGTGGAATCAAGGGAAAAAGGTCAGCTTCTAGGTTCGACCCAGACTAGCTATAGATGAGTAGAGCTTAAGACACCATAAAGAGGATGAGTTTACTGAGTACTACATTTTTTGGAATCTCATTAGCTCTTCCATTGTTTCAAAATTTTGACGATACTCATATGCATATTACTCAAGATGTAGGTCTGTAAATCATATAACTCAGCTGTTCTTTGTCGATTGTAATCAATAGGCTGTTTCAAGACAGTTTTCATCATAGATTGATATCAGCTAGAGAACCACTGGAAATTAGGGGGTGACGAATAGTTGTTTTGTCTAGACATAAAACTCTTTCTGGCCCTCCCTCCAGTATGGACCAAACTAAGCCCTCATGGCAACCACGTTCACATTCAGACACTAGTTGGTGAATGATCAATCTCATTTTCTGACCTCAGTCAAGTTGAATTTTGTGTGTTATCTCAAGTAGATAATCATCATATACCATTTCTTTTATTTTATGTGTATCGCCAAGGGTTATAATATTTTGCATAGGTGACTTACTAACCCCATTACATTTCCTTTCCCCTTTCAATTTCACTAAACTTTCCCACCTATTTTCGAATCATTTACTCCTATCTTCAATCGATTTCGAGTTTAGTTTGTGACCTGGAAGTTCCCCGCCAAACATGAACCCATCCTTAGAATACTGTATTAACATCAATTGTTTATTGATCTATGGACACCTCACGAGTATGTTTTAACGTATTAGGAGGTCATATTGAAAATT